TTTATTATTATTACTTGTCTGTGATGAATAATAAATAAGCAAGTTCCTTGGAATCAGTATTCAACTTCACTGGCTTCTGTCTACATAATCCATAGAACTAACACTCTTGGAGGGCTGATTGGTCAAACTGAACAAGTTTAATTTGTATCTACACATTTCCAGTGGTCCATGGGTAATAAGATGGTAAATTTGAGGAGACCAAGTACAATGGCATAGGAGCCCTTGCTGTGGACAGTGACTTTGTGACGGTCTGATGCTGCATGAGAATGAGAATTTTGACAATTTCAGTAATGTGAAGAGATAGTTAAAACCCTGAAAATTAGACATAGCTGTTGTAAATCACTGTATGTAACATTTTTCAGCAGCTAAATTTGGTTCATGACTTTGTCTGTAAATCAGTTTCCCTTCCTTCTCTCTGCCTGTTTTTTTGACTAAGATTCTGTTTATTTTTGCCCAGTTCTTCAATATCTATTGTGGGCTTTTTCTCATTTCTGTTGAGAAGCATTTAACCTGACCTTACTGGCTGCACACTGACTTGAACCTGTCACCTATTGTGGTTTTTTTCTTTGTTTGTTCTGTGTTTTTCTTTATACAGGGAGGATATACAGACCATCTGTATGTCTGAGTTACCAGCAAAGATCCACTAGCTTCACCAACAAGGAGGAAATTTCTTTCAAAGAAATACTGAAGTTAAAAATTAACTGTGTGCCATTACACAATATTTATAACATAGTGTATATAAAGGCTTTTGGAAAGCTGGATGCTATCAATTACACCTGAATGATTTTACTTGCCTTCATAAAAGGACGAATGGTGCATGCACCTCCCTGAAAGCTGTTAGCCCCAGGCAGGAAAGGAGTTTTTCACTCTCCATCATTGTCTTTGATTTGATACTGATTTACTACTAGCTAAGCACATGTCCAGCATTTTAAAGCTGGTGAAGAGTCCCACTGAAGTCAAGGGGCTTGATGTACGCTGGGATTACTCCATGCTGAAAAGTCAGGTTGATGTTTCACAGTCTTGAAGAAAGATCTAATTATTGAAGCATAATTTGATGAGTAACTTGGTCACTTAGGACAAGGATGAGCCTACCTTTCTTTTCTATGTTTAAAGGCAACATTTTTTTGTGTGTGTTATCTTTACCTAAAAGATTTATAATTTACAGTAATGAATTGGATATTTTAGCTTTAAACAAAAATATTTTTTACATAAATCTTCAGACACGACTGAAAAAGAAGCCCAAGTCCACGGAACCAAAATTCTGCTACATCTGTGGATTCTCTAAGGTTTTGGCCTACCTGCATCATTTTGTCCCATGCCTTCACTGAAGCTCCATCTACAGCTGCAGGTGAACCCATTGCTCAGCCTATGTTAGTAGTTTCTCCTCCTGCAAAGAAGCTGAAAACATCTAAAATATTGCTGGGAGTGCTAAGTGCAGTGCACCTTGCGAAGTTTTTGCTTGTTAGCACTGGCCATTTTCAGACACAGTCATTGATCACCACCAGCACCAGTAAAGGGTCAGGTATGTGGTGCAGACAGGCTTCATCTGATCCTAACACATACGAACTGCTGTTTGCTTGCTGTGTTGCTTTCATAGCGCACAGGAGCATTTTATAAAATCAGAGACAGGCAGGGGGAGCACCTATGAAAATGCAGCAACAATTTATTTTATAAAGAATTTTTGTAAGTCTCATGAAAAACTGCAGCCCATGAGCTGCTATAAATATTACACTGCAGATGTTTGGAAAAAACCTGTTCACTTACAGGATACACAGAGCTAATTCCTGCAGAAAATTTAGTTAAAAAGTGGGAGGAACTAGGACGGATGAGTTGACCCAGGCTATTACATTTGGTAATATTTTTACTTATTCACTGATCTGATTTCAGCTATCCTTTTTCTGTCTTTTTTTTTTTTTTTTTCCTGAAAAACAGCTATTCACACTGAAGTGAAATAGAAGTGGAATATTTTACATATGCCATAAACTGAGCTATAGCACAGCCATCCAGCTGTGATCTTTCCTGTACCTGAGCAATGTCTCAACAAAATCCCATGTGTGTGTGTCTCTGTATGTATATGTATATATATGGACAGATTTGTACCAACTCTGCATTGTTACACTTGACTTACTCTTTTTTTTAATTATGTAAAAAAATCACATTAAGCTGAATCTAATTACTGCAATGTATATTAGAAGCAGGGCACCATCAAAATTTTATTTAAATTAATCAGGTTTTGATTTAAGATATTAAATTCAAATTAATCATGTAAAAATGGAAATGATCCTTGACGTGCTTCCAGCTGTGACTTCAGTCTGTTTTCTCGTGTGAGTCACTTTCGGGATGTCTTGGGGGGAACATTACGAAAATTCACGCCGGTGCTATTTCAATTAGAGTTATTTAGCAGGACAGATGTAAAGAATACGGTATAATTAAGAAGGAGCTGATGACACGGCTACAGATTTTCAGGATCAAAAAAAAACCTGTTAGTGAAAATTGACTACTGGTCATGTAGTCCAAGTTCAAATATGCTGGGGTTAAGCACTCATTAATGATAGAATGAGGTCTTTAGATAGACCGTTGGACTCTTTCTCTGGAGCAATCTGCAGAATTCTGCCCTGGAAATAACTTTGAAGCTTCATTAGCAAGCAGATGATACCTGATAATATAATTCTAAAATTCTTAAAATAATTTTCCTCCCCCTGGTGCCTAATCTTTTCTGGACAGCTAACTTCAAAGGCCTTCAGAAAAACCTGGAAGTGGCATATAAATGCCCATGTAAGAGCACATACACACAGAGATACGTATATGCATACACTCAAAGCATTGTTAAACTCCTGATGAATACGAGCTGCCAGGAATACTGTAATTTCTTCTAGTGCTGTTTGAGCAGAATTAGTCTGTGCTACCTGCACGCTTCCTGACTGAAACCAATAAAGAGGATGGGGGCTTTCCCCCATAGAGGCCTGACTTAGTATTTATTTATAACTCTTTTTACTGTCAGTATTTCCACTGTGAAAAGTGATCTGCACATTGTTTCTTTATTCAAGAGTAGGGTGACACAAACATTTTTTTCACATGTGCCGCAATGCTATGCAGCATAAACTTTGGAAGTTATTTTACAAATTCTTTTACCTGAAATTATATCTCCCAGGTAAAGCTCTCACATTTTCCAACATGAAAAAAGATCAGAGAGACTACAATCTGTTCCTTCTTGTACTCATAGATCTCCCAAAAATATGTGTATTTAAACATGCTTCTTATGGTTGCTATCCAGGGCTCTCAGTATCTGTTCCCCTCCTACTGAGTAATAGTAAAAGCCAAGTTAAATTTAAAAAATGCACAGTACATACTGTACACCCATAATTATAGATTAAATATTGATCTCCATGGTGTTTTTTCCATGCTTTTTTTCCCACATCTCTTGCAATCTTTCTCTTCCCTCAGTAATGTCCCATTGTCACTTCCTTCTGCAAAGTCGCATACAACTGGAAATATCTTCTGCAACCAAAACCATCGGTTTTAACTAAAAAAACCCCACAGTGGATGACAATGAAATAACTTAAATATCCAGCTCTCTATATCTGGCAACATCCTCCAGGAGTGGATCCTAGAATCTGTAGAAGCTTTATTTGCTCGTTCAGGGATGCCATACACTTCAGCGAGGAGCTGTACCTAAAGGAGGAGCAATGCACCAGACCAAGCATGCCTGGCTATCCGTAGTGGATGGAAGTAAAGAGCATATTACACTTGCCACAGCTTACCTATTATGCAGATTTCAAGGCAGGAAACTGTCTGCAAAACAGATATACAGTGAACATAAACTTTTTTGTTATTGTGGTAGTTGATCATGTTGTTGTTACAGTTGGAGGAATAATATGATTCATTGATGGTTTCTGCTTCCCACTCGTAAGATATAAACCTACATAATGATTGTTCTTTAATAGTATTTAAAGATATTTTTAAAACAAACTGTGTGGGAGTTTAACATAATAATGGTTTCAGTTTTTCAGGAAACACTTTTTGGAGAAGTGTATGACTCTTTAAATATTAAAAATGGCTGCTCATAAGAAACATGAATGTAGAAAGTAATTTGTTAGAAAGGATGTGATAAAAATATGCTCAATTTATGCGTTTGTCCTTTTTAAATTTATTTTTTCTTTTGGCATAACAGCTGGAAAGAACAATTTTTTTTTCTGTGAGCTAGGCTATTGCCTGGATGACTGAAATGCATTTTCCCACGAGAGATGCACAGGTTCATTTCCCATCTGGGTTTTTTTACCCTCCTGTTTCTTTTTTCTCCCCAACTCCTCTCCTCCAGGACCAGAGCTTATTGATAATGAACGATAAGTTTCCATTGATATAGCCGCATACACACCGAAGAGATTATACTGAACACAGCAGTGCTCCGTGTGAAGTACAGATTAGCCCAAAGATGTTCGCCTATTTCTCAATCCTTCATCTAGGCCTGCGTGGGGGGGTTCCAGTAACCGTCAGGACTCATTTGTAGGATGAAGACACAAGGAGTTCGGACTGGCTTCTCTGGTCAATTAGGAACTGGGGCTGATGATCTCAGGAGGGAAAGCTCAGATTCCTGTCAAGCCCCTGCAGAGAAGACAGGTGGGAGGGGGAGCACAGAAGTGGGGTGAGAGGAGCACAGAAGTCCTCGGGGCAGTGGAGGCTCATTCCTTACCAGGGGAACTTGGCCTTGTGCATACGGTAAACATGGGATTACTCACCGATGCCCCTGCTGTCACCAAGCCAGTAAACCCGTGGCATTTGTCAGTGAGGTATTATGTGTTGCCTGCATAAGGGTAAAGGCTAAAAGCCCAAATTGTAGGGAAGTTGTGTTTTAATGAAGGCTGAAACACTGGTCTGGGACTTCATCTGACGATGCTCAATCCACGGATCTTTCACACATTTCTGATGCTATTCCATGGCATTTGCATAACTTTTCTCAGTTCCCTATATGTGGAATAATGTCCATAGGAGGAATATGACCGGCAGGGTTAGCTCAGTTGGTTAGAGCATGGTGCTAGTAACGCCAAGGTCACCACAGGTTCGATCCCTGCTCACTGCAGGGGGGTTGGGCTCAATGATCTCTCAAGGTCCCTTCCAACCCAAAAGCATTCTATGATTCTATGCCTTTCCTGTTTTTCTTACTTGTCTCTTTCCAGCGCGGTTAGACTGTAAACTCCGCGGCAATCTAGGACTATGCATTTCTCAGTGCATTGTGTACCAAGGCTCCGTTAAGCCTAGGGACAGTAATGTATGCAAATAATATTGATGATAAACACTATTAGTTCTGTACCATCTCAAAATTATCATGACTAACATCTTTATGGAAAGATGGAAATATTTCTGGAAAATTTCTGGAAATATTTCACAAATGGAGACTTTCTAAATCAGAGAGATATTCAGTGGCTTGTCCATGGCCTTAACATAAGTCTATGAGAGGGCATGGCTCAGATCTCTTGATTTCTGGTGTTTCCTCTTAATTTTGAAACAATTACTATCAAAATATTTTCTGTTAGTACATTTTTAGTTCATTTATTTGCCTTAGCTAAAATGTATAAGCTGTTGGATATTTCTCATTGGTTTGTAACTACAGTGTGACAGATGAAGGTGTAAGGTGTCATGGGACTCTGGAACTGATATGAAACATGGTTAGTATGTAAGAAAATTATATATGAAAGTTTTGACTTTTGCAGCTGGACCCTTATCCAGTGGATGTGTTGAGGTGTTTCTCTCCAGAGGCCATTACCAGAGGCACTTGGGCTGACTCAGCAGAAAAATCTGGTACTTTGGGAGAACCCTCCTGAGAAAAAGAGGTGCTGCAAAGGTGAAACCTGCATTTTTACCAGTCCTGCCTTGTTGGAGGCAATTTGTGTCTTTGTGTACGAGAAGCACGTCAGCTAAAGTTGTAGTTGTGTCTCATCTCTGGATAACTGTGTTTGCTGCCTCTTTTTGTGCAGCATAATAAGATTTGGCCCTTTTAGTCTATGCTTTCATTCCTTCTAAGGCAAGAAAGAAATGACACATAATATCTTACAGAGCAGACATGCTAATTTTGAAAGTGATTTTCCAGGCAACTGAACATGTCCCACAGGTTCCACCTGGGAACTGAATGTTTATGGCTAACTTTGGAAAAATCTTTTTTAGGCTACTGGGAGATGAATATGCCTGTATAAATGCGTATTTTAGTGGCCCCACAGAGCTCCCCCTATGAACTAATTAAAGACAGTTTCAGAGGACAGGTCCTCACTTACCAGCTGTGAACACACAGTACGCAGTGCCAATGGAAGAGCCTGGGTGTGTCAGCAAAAAGCAAGCAGTGGGCTAATTACACTGAAAGAATCTGCACATTCAGCACACCTTAGCCAGCTCTGTACGAAAAATTGACATAGCACAGCACCTAAACCATCCAAAATACTGAGCTTGACTGTTAATTACAAATCAGGTCCCTAATTCCAGCCCACTCTGGTCTAAGGAGCAATAAATATTGACACAGAGTAGAAGTCAATGCTGCAAGCCTTTCCACTGTGGACAGCTAAACAGGCAGTGTAGCCAATTTTCCAGGCTTCATCAGGAATCATGCCATTATTGTTGTTGTTATTAGCACCTGTAGGATTAAAAGGAAAAAAAAATCTTTATTTTAACAATATGAGCATTTCTAGCTTTCCTATTTGCCAAGAACAGTTTGAAAAAGGAACCTTGAAAGGTTCAATAAATTATTTTCTTTTTTAAGCCAATATTGAAGATGGGCTTTGAAAATATTGTGATTTCTACACCAGAGCCACGTTCTTTTGGGAGCTGATTCTGGGTTTTTGAATTTTGATGGCTGGCAATATTGGACGTAAAATCTGAATGCAGTTCACATCCTTAGCTAGGGGAGTGAGTGAGACACTGGATAAACTTGAAATTGTATTTAGGTGTCTTAGATCTGCATTTGACTCATGTAACTTATGATAAATATAAATTAAGAAAAAATGTCAGATGACCAAAAATGCCACATTTCTATCCACATGAAAAGTAAAAATCTTCAGATACTGTAGCCTGTAGTACCTTACATCCGACCTAGATGAATATAAAAAAACAAAACCAACTTAATTCTGGAATCTGCTTATTCATGAACACACTCAGAGTACAATAGAATTGCACAAGATTTAGTTCTAGTATTGAGCTTTTTCAGACTAGATGACTCCCGAAGTCTGCTCAATGTGACATTAGTACAGAAAATAATTCAGAGGAGTCTTTAACAAGTTTCTTCTTCAGTTTTGATGTTCCTTCAGCTTTTTGGCCCTGATAGCAGGTAATTATGGAAACACTTCAATTTATTACTGTAGGGGGGGAGAAGTATATGAAATTCAAAATTTTCTAGACAGTTGCGACTGGGGGTTAGGCAATCATTTGGAGCTGAAAAATGCACGCAGATCTTGGGAAAAATGAGATGTCCTCTAGACTGAAAATAGTGACATGGAAAAGGGCAGCTTGGCTATATGTATACAAACAGGTCCACAAAGACAGTTAGTTGTATCTGTGCAGAGAAGCTACTGGAATCAGAGTTTCAGTCCAAAATCAGAAATCTGTATTAATTTGCCCTGTAGATCAGAAGTCACAATTAATTGATTTTTTTATCTTTAGAATAATAAAAAGGAGATTGATCAGAGGAATTTCTTGTCTCTTTTAAAGTACAGGCCACATGATCTTTGATTTGTAAAAATCACCCTAGCATAGTTGAAATCCATCCTAGTTGAGGCTCTGGTTCACTTCATTTTTAAAGATAAAAATTCCTTGTCAGCCTCAAACTAAGTATTGCAAAGTCTTACCACTTTGCTGTGCAGAAGACACATCTCTGGAGCTTTTTTTCTGGATTTCCATCCTTCCATTTCTGATATGTTTACATGAGGATATTTTTAGGACATTGTATTTTCCTAGGTTAGTAGCAGCACAGTTCTGTGAATAGCTTAACAATTCATTTGAACTTTACAGTATCTTAACCTGAGACAGCAGACTCCTAATTATAAACTAAATAGAAACTGAAGCCTTGTCAGAGTGATTTTATTATCCTGATTGCAACAGTTTTGACCCTTTATGAGACTTTGTGTTATTTGGGACATCAGGAGTCTAACAACTGAAAACAAGCAGAAGACAGCTGCTTTCAGCTCACAGAAGTCTCTGGATATATTTAGCAATTTAGCCTTCAAAGTAAGCTGTTTTGCTGGTACTATTGTAAGATGCATCATTTCTCAGTAGGGCCCACATGTTTGCCTTAATCTGATAGAGTTCTTCTTTTTGTTCTTAACCTACTTCCTTTCCAAGAGAGGTAAGGGAACTTTAGCAGCAGCCGTCAGTAGCAAATGAAGTGGGAGGGAGCAAAGAATAAAAAATAGGCTGGGATTTATAAAAAGAATCTAAAAATCTGTGATTATATAATGATGTACAGAAGATGCCAGCTACCAAATCAAGCTATGGCATCACTGTTAACTTAGTGAGCTCCGTACTTCTCACTTCTCTGACATAAAGGCAGCTTCTGAAGTAGTTTGAAACGCGTAACCTTTAAGCTACAGGTTGAGAAATGATCCCAAGTGCTCAAAGTCCAAACTGAAGAAAGAGAGCCTGTTATTTGAGGAAAAGTCATGAAACCCAAGTTAACTTTTACTTAGCCTTGGCGAATTAGAAAATGAAAAGAGAAACCACGTAGAGGTAGAGGTTGATGTGGAACGTCCCCTGGAGTTTTCTGAATGAAGAAAATAAACTAATGAAAAGTGGATGAAACCAAAAGAATTAGTTGTGAATCAATGCTAAATAGTGACCAAATTCACACTGCGAAGAAGTCTGAAAGCCTAATGTTTCTTAGTAGGGGAAACTGTCCATATGTAAAAATAAGGGGTTTACCATTTGCAGGTAAAAGGTAAGGACTGGAAAACAGACCTGTGTCTTTAAGTGATTTCTCTGCTGCTGTGCAAGGACAGACTGTGGCAGCTGTGACCACAGGCTCCCCATCCTCCTGTTTTGCAGCCATGTGAAGCCAGTAGGGCTGCTGCACTGGGAGCCCTCCTGGCCACAGGTGAGGAGCCTCGCCATCTGCAATACTCAGTAGGCCAATCAAGCTGGCCCTGCGTGAAGTAAGATAGATAGCCTCCCCGTGTGCCCCGCGCTCCCTCTGAAATTTCAGCAGATCAATGTCACTGTGGCTTTTAATTACCCCTCTGCTTCATCATTATTTCATGGACTTAAATATGCCCTGCAGGACACAGCATCACAGTGTACAGATAAACAACCACCAAGCCCAGGTGCCTCTTGAGGTGCTACAGTCACCCCCCCAGAGGGAAACGTCATGGTGTTGGGCTCGCTTCCACGGGTAAGCTGACCTCAGGTTTTCCAGGCTGATTTCAGCCTGAGCTGAGACACAAGGGCACCCACTTCACCACTGTGTCCTGGGCTGAGAGCTCCTACAATTTCGTATTAAAACTTGTTGCTGTCGACACGCACAGGCACAGAGATCAGAGTGGCCAGTAGGGCTTTTGCATGTCATGTTTGTTTTCTGAAGAGGAAACCAATCCATCACTGCAGATCCTGTGTGGTAATCCATAAGCATTTGAGCACAGCACAGGGCCCACCTGTAGAAGACACTGAAGTCATCCTGAGAGCTGCTCAAACAGCCTGAATGCAGCCCTGGGTTCAAAAGTACTCAGTGACTTGCAAGCACAAACACATCCTGAAGGCTACCTGCAGCACGGTCTGTTGTAAGGGTTGTTCTGACACATGTTGGCAGTGGTTTCCGAGGGGTGCAGGACAGGTTTAAAGAAAGAATACCTCCCTGTCCTCTCTCACCCTTTGCAACACCTCCTGGTTACGTACAGTGCCAGGTAAGATTGAAGCAGTTTTAGCTTTTTGGTTTTAATTTGTGAACCAATGCAGCTCATTAGGGAGACAGCACTTGTCTGGATGTGGGGAGCCAAACTAAGGGGGGGGAATATATGATGAAAAAATATCCAATTTTGATTGGAATTCTTTAGAAAGTTAACTGCCTAAACCCATAGTTTTTGATCGATGAAGAATGTCGATAGCACTTTT